GAAACACAGCTCACTGTAATAAGTAGGATCATCCGCGTTCAAAATTTACACTTAATTTTATATAGAGAGCTCGGGGGCTAGGATCCTGAGGTCCCGGGCTCAAGTCCCACCAATCACCAATGGATTTTATCCATGTTATGATACTGTTACCCTCTAGGTTAGTGATAAATTATATAAAACCTTATTTCAGTAAATGTAAAACACTTGACAGTTGTAGTAATCCGTTAGGTATCGTACTTCATTCCGTTCCAACCTCAATCTAGTTACTAAGGGAAGATGCAGCACCTGCTTCCACCCAACAGCTGGTGTCAAGGCCATTACATATAAGTTGGGGTACCTTTGCTTTTAACATATTTTTTAATATGCACTTTAAGGCAAGGACTTTTTCGTGGAATACAAAATGTTTTGTTAGTTTTTCTCAACAATTTTATTTCAGCACACAGTTCAATTGGTTTAGTTTCAGCATAGAAATATTTAGTTGTAGTTAAGTGATCTGTTCGTAACGATATTAAAAGTCAAAAGTATTTATGATTAATAAAAGGGAATGAATAAACTATCAGATTCTCTTACACTGTACAACATTTAACATTATGTTGTTTTTACTCAGATTTTTTTTATAGTACAGAGTCTTTTAATATTCTTATCTTAATATTTTTAATTATAAAGTGATGCAGCAATTTAATGTTGTGCTTATGAAATAGTCAAGGTATGTAATCTATTTTTTTATATTTGCAAATATTAAGCATATGTTTTTGTGATGCACAACTGTACAGAATCCTTATCTCCATAAATTGTACTAATTGTTATGCTAAGAGTTAGAATATAATTGACTATTGAAACTGTCATTCATAATTACGGTGCCATAATTATGTAATATCAAATTGTAGCTTAAAGTATTATGAAACTACTCCAGAATCCAGAATTTACTTATTTCTTACGTTGTCGAAGCCTTGTTAATACCTCTCTGAGAAACCCCATTTAATTATAACTGAAACTATAAACATTGAGGGTGGGAAATTATTATGATGGGAAAGTTAGTCTTTCATCAGGTAATTCAAAGTTAGATTAGCTTTTTACCCATTTTAAAACGGGTTTAAAACTCTAAATTATATCTTCTTGATAAATTAATTGTAAAAACTATATATTACCTTTACTTTTCAATTTTTAAATACAGTACTTTCTTGCACTGTTAAAAAGTTTCACTCATGACATATTTGTTTTAAAAAGTTATTAACATTTGTACCATAAATAAATAATGACATTAAATTAAAAAATGTTAAATACTGATGATGTGTTTTCATTTGTAGAAGGAAATAAAAATGGGTCCTTCCGATTGCTAGACGAAAACACATATTGTGTTCAAAAGTGTATAAAACGGAACAAGACTGATACGGTATTAAAAATAAAAACAGGTTGTAAAATAGAATAATGTTAATCAATGTCTCGGTGATTTTATTTGGTGTAATACTGTATGTTATCATAACTTATATAAGTTGTAAATGTATTACCATCAGTGTTGTATTTATTTCGACAACAACTAATTTGCAACCATTAAGTGTGATATGTTTCATCGCTATGTCTAGTAGGATACGGTTGCTGGCGTCTATGAATAAAAAATGAATAAGCCTACTAGTCTTAAATTTATTTTCCCTTGGAGGAATAGTTTCTCTTTGTCAATTATTAAAATTTTGACAAATATTTGTTTTTATTAAAAGTTTTGAATCTAATGTTGGCTATTTGTGTGTGCTTTAGGTCAAGCTGTTATGCTGCAACATAAAACATAAGATCACAAAAGCTGTATAGCCAAGACGAGTTACACTCTAGGGTCTAATATATTGTGTCTGGCGATGTATGTCGTGTTGTACGAAATTGGATGCGACAATGTATTTTTGCGTGTTTTGAAACATTTATTTTGAGAGTTAGAGTACAAAACATTTGTCTTTAAACCCTTTGCCAGAATACGACGTTGATAAAGTAAAGATAGAAATGTTGATACATTTAATTCATTCATACAGGAATGCATTCGGTTGAGCCATTTTACTACAACACCTCAACTGAGCCAACATCTAAAAACATTTTAAGAATATTTTTGAACGAAAAAAAACGCTGTTTATTTCCTAAATGACTCAAAAGGTACTTAATATGCACAAGGCTTATTAGATTAACTACAGACCGTAACGAGATTTAGGTGGTTTTAAGGGAAGAAATTACACCACCTCGACCTAAACCTACCTTAAAAACAACAGCTTGACACCTGAGGTTTGGTACGTCTTTGGCTACATAATGATGAATTTATCCCAGCTTTGTCACATGTGATTGGCAGGCAATTCTCTACCCAGGGACCCTATAAGTCTAATGACCAAGCATGTATTTATATTTGACTGTGTCTCATGCATTTATATAATGTCTATAGACGAATAAATATCATTTCATTTCATTTCATTTCATTTCATAGTGTTGTTAATCAATTCAATTTACGATTGTTTAGGATCTAAAAAACTAGATTAAACTGTTAAATTACAAGACGTTCTTTTAAACTTCTTGACAATTATATTTCCATTTGCAAATTTCAAATTCACTTTGAACTACTTTATACTTTAAGGAAACCAGTTATATTTTACGAGTTTCGTTGATATTTTATTATTTAAATGGCTACAAAGTAATATTAATAAACGAATATTTCCAACATGTTAAATTAGTGATTCCTAGTTAATAAAGTCGTCAAATAAGATGGCAGTTATGAACAAATTACCCTATTTAGTTGGTTCACAGAATAACACTACGATTGCTTATGTCTACAAAGTGCTGAGTAAGCATTGTGCCTTGACCTGTAGCCTTGACGCATGTACAGTCGATGGTTATTCTAAGACACAGGGAGCTGGCACTGAGCTGTACTGAGCAGGACACGACAGCATAAGGTCTGGCAAGTAAAGCGGATACCTAAAGAAATCATATAACTGATCATCACTAACTGACGATTGAAATATAGTTTACGCCACACTACATTATTTAGACGAACTTCCCACGCAAGGATTCAGTCCAGAAAACAGCTGTTTGCCGCCAGCTTATTCAAATGGGGTTTCATTGCGTGATACTGTTCTGCAATGAGTTTTACCGGACACCAATCAGCTGATTATACTGTATTTGCGTAGGTAGCAATAATTGGTTATAAGCAAAAACATAACCTCTCTTAGAGGTTATGACTAGTGATTTTTAGTCCTTTAGTTGGTGGAAATATATAAGGATTCGTACGGATTAAGTAGTATGGCGTAAAATATCGTACGTAACTCGTCCAAAATGTGTTTACCGGACTCGTATGGTAATCCCGTACTCGACTTCGTCTCGCACGGGAACGACCACACTCGTCCGGTAAACACTTACTTTCAGGACTAGTAACGTAATATACTATTGTGTCTAAATTGAATAGGATATTTAAATGTTTAAATAGTTCGGATTAAAATTGTTTGGATATTTTATCGTTTAAATGGCTAAAAGGAATTTTAACCAACCAATATTTTCCAGAGAATATTCCAATACTTTCCAATATTAGCGGTTCTCAGACGGCAGTCATGACCTAATAATCCTCTAAACAATTTTTCCACACAACAATACAAGTTGTGCATGTCTTCAAAGGTCAGAGGAGGCTGTGTCAGAGGACACAGTTAGGTTATATATATCGATTGTAATACAATTAAATGTTTACAGTCAATGGCCACTCTAAAAGAGGCTAGACACAGGCTGAGGGGCAGGGGCTGGTACTAAGCAGGGCACGGCAGGATAAAATCTGGAAAGGCAGCGGAGAACTCAAAAAATCAGGATAACTTAACCCAAGGATTACTATTCATTTAAGTGTTAAAATATAATTCGTCCGTAAATTGAAAAGAAATTTCAAAAATGTTTAGATTTAAAAAGTTTGATTTGATTAATTTTAAGCTCTATTTTCATCCCGCTGTTATTATTTATCCACCTATAAATTGTGTCCACTATTTATTTTTACCGATTTTTTTGTGAATGACAAGTATGTTAATCGATTTATAATCATCCGTACATATTGTTTAATTTCTCAAATAATGGCACATTTAACACAACTTATTTTTAAATTTCATATTCTAATCTCTAAAAATATAATTTTTTTGTACTACAAGTTCTTCAGTTTTACCCTAGATTTTAAACTTAGGCTACCATAAAATATAACGGTAAGTTTGAAATTCTTTATAATGACCATAATTATCTCAAAAGAGTTAAACTAAGTTGCTTTATGAGGCTACTTGAGAAATCCAATTATTTCCTCATCTCTTTTTTGTCAAAGTTTTGTTGCGGCCTTTCTGAGACAACGCCATTAATTATAACTGAAACTAAACATTGACATTTCATTACTTTGTTGCTATAATTTGGGCAAGAATCGTAATTTAGTAGGTGAATTTGCAAAGTGAAAGCTGGAATTTAATTAATACATTACCTTCATTGCCATCATGTTTCAAACTTAACAAAAATCAACCCTGTACACATATACAATACTTGAAGAACCGAAATTACCTGCGAGAGGAAATAAAGCAACAATTTAAAGGTACAATATTAAAACTATGATTAGACCCCAAATATTTATGTTTGAGTATTATTTTTAATTTCAATATCATATCATCCACGTTAAAAATAAAAGCCCTCTATAAGAGGTTTTAAGAGGGTTCCATCTGCCAGTTGGTTACGGCGCACATCATGTAAACTACGAGACAAACAGTATTTATGCATGTTGACCTGATTATTGACAATGTACAATTGTGCATGTTACAATTTTGGAAGCCAAGCTAAGAAGAAATATTTGAAGGTAATTTGTATAGTGGTTATTCGTAGAAGTAGGGTAAGTCAAATGATTTTTAAAGTAAGACAAAACATAATAGTTCATCACACAGTCCCAAAGCTTCTATTCCATAACCGCCGGAACCAGTTTCTACCAGTTTCTGTTTTGCTGGCTTAGGTTGTAGTGATGAAATACTAGACCATTAATTTACATCTATATTTTGTTCAATCATCGGCTTCTTTTGGATACAATAACAGTAGGTTTAAAACCACAATGTGTCTGTCTTGCCCTTCCAGTAACAATTCAGTAGCTTTATCATGAAGAGCCCAGGGGTACTCTACATCTGGATCTGAAAATAAGCATTGGGTTGTATTGTAAATACATTGCTGGTACATAGTCTGTTAAAAATAATTGCATGTTACCTCAGTCTTTTTAGATAAATGTATAAATAGTTTTACAAACAGATTCTAATTGTTTTAACCTAAGGAATGAGTAATTTTATCCGATGTTTTAATTTCCGTATCAAAGTGTCAATGAAAAATAGGAAATAAGGTTAACTCATAATTAATTTGTTATCCGAAAACAATACATTTATCTAAGGAACCTTATAAAACATTACCTTGTATATAATTTTTCTGTCAAGTGACATTTCATACTTTCCCTCTTGCGTTAAACCTAAAGCACTTGCAAAACTTCGAATTATGAATTTGGAATGAATTTGACACATTTAAGGCAATATTAAGTTTTAGTGCAAAATTTTAATCAGGCACATGACAATTTGATTATTCTGCAGGTTTGCTACGATGGGAAAGTTTCAATTTATTTTTTTATCAAACCAACTAAGTTTGACGAGTTTCAATAGTGAAGCTTTAAACTAACGCGCTTTTTAAGTTTAAATTCAATACTTATTACCCTTAGTGGTAATATTGTTATTCATACAGCAACATCATAACAGCTAAATACACTTTAAAACACGAAATACAAAATTAATTGCAGCAACAGGTACCAACTTTACATTTCAACAATGGCTTATCAACACAGTTTAAATACTCTGTAACAACAAGAGAACTGTTTAGTTATTCACTCTCAACCTATAATTAGACCACAATTTCAAGTAGAGAATTTCTAATGAGTAAACCTAAGCTCCTACTTAAGCACATCAACATGGCATTGTTGGCAAAGTCTATTGTAATGTGTCAAGAACAAAGGTCTTGAGTCACAAAGAGATTAAACTAATGTTTGCTTCTGAGCCGCTTTGACACTGCTTTGTAAACTGAACAAACATTACACAATGGCAACATGATAGTTTAACTTATATACGTAGTTGTTTTAATTATTAATTCTAATGCACTCTTTTTAACATGGTATAACTATTGTAGGTGTTGGTTTTATATTTTGTAATTACCTATTACATTTCTATCTTTATAAGATTATTTTATACTTTCGTGTTCTTGGATGGAGTTTATAGATAACATTTTCTCTCTCAATTGTCAAAAATAGTTAGCTTTATACATTTTTATAACCGTAAAAAAAGATGAAATTAATGACTTGATTAACTATCAAGTCCATCAAGTCACGATCAAAATAGGCTATAAGATACCTAAATGGACAGCATTTTATAAAGAGAATCATACAATCATACTGGAAAAAATTAAATAACGTGCATAAATAATAGTAGGTCTATAGAGAGTATTAATTATTTTATTTTAATAAGTTTTATCATTGACTATTGGATACTAATAGTCAAAGGTTTTATCTGATAAGCCAAGTTAAGCTTCCCCTTAAAAATATAGATAAAACAACGTTATAATTCCTCAACTTCATTCAAACAATTCTGCGGCTAAATTTTGTACTGTTGGAATTTGTAAATTTAACTGTACAATGAAATATAAATCCAACGATGACTTGGATTTGATTTGCCCAAAACCTGGAAACATGGTAAATATAAGCTTTAAAAGTACTTACAGCCATATTTTCCAATGAATGCTATATCGATAGTCTTATCGCTACATTTAGGGTCTGTGAGAAATTTCTGGGGTTTTGTATACCAGCCTCTACCTTCATAAACATTCCCGTCACCTCCGACAAGAAAACTGTAAACACACGAACAAAGCTAAAGCATTGTTAATTACCTTAACTCAAACAATCACGTAGGCATGCAAATAACACTCATGTTATTAAACGGAATATTACATTCAATATTTATGCTTTACTTCTAGATTGTGTGTTTGTTATTATAAACTTTAAACACAAATTTCAACTGCAAATGGAATGTTTCAATTATGGACGAAGTGGTTTTGCTATTTCAATTTGTAAATTTGTTTACTTACGAGATGGAAATTATTCACCTTGTATTTACTTCTGTAAAATTACAGTTAGGGCCTACTATAAATGCAAAACAAAAGACAGTGACATTACTGACATTCCCAAAATTTCTTAAATGATTTTGATAGAATATGTACTGTTTTAAGTACTATATCCTAAATTTCTTTTACCAAAACTAATAAAATCTTCAAAAATACAAAACTAGAAGTCTTCAAAGGGCATTGACATAATTATGTTTTAGTTAAACTAAACGATGGCAGTGTTTATTTTTTTTATGTAGGCCTACCTTTCTACAAGACAAAACTATTTTGCATGCCACTTAATTCTCTGGAGGTAAATGTAGATTGAATGTTTATTACAGTACAGTATTTATTTGCCACCAACCTATTTTCTAACTGTCATTTTGATTTTAAAAGATTCTATGTTTTGTTATGCTATTTAACTAACTTATGTCAACAAGGACCCCGTATCGTTAGTTTTAAAATATAAAACGCATTATACTACAAGGAAAATACTATAATAATTATTATAATACAGAGCTTCAATTGGAAAGTTAATTAATCTTGATTAATGAACCAACTTTAGAACGTTCTGCGATTAGTTCCAAGCTGATATCCTGATCGCTACTTATTTTTTGTTATAAGGATATACAGCATTTCTCGATCGATATACGAGTGGGTAGAGTGAACTAGTACTAGAGTGAAGAAAACAAGGTGCAAGAATTATAATGTCACTCCTTTTTCAAGTATATTATTTCAAGTAGTATTATTTTAAGTCTAATACTCAGGTTTACTATTTTGAACTAACAAAATAGCCTCATTCTCGGTGCCACTGGTTGGGAAACCTTGATCTTTAGCAGTCTAAAGCATGTGGTTTCTATAGAACGATCTAATTCCATTTATTTACTTTTAGCCTGCTCTCAGAATAGCTGTCTTAGTAAAGCCGTAATGTCAGCACATGGAAGTGTCTGACAAAGTAAGACCTGTATGTTGTGTTAGTGTTCGTTTACTATGTCCGCTTACTTGTAGGCTATGTCTGGTAGATTGTCCTGGTTCATATGTCTGTGCTGTATCTCCCTCACTGTAGAAACACACTCTGTTGGACTATTGCAAGGAGGCGTGTCGGTGTCAACGGTAAATGAAACCTTGGACCATCATCCGCTTATTGTTTGCTTCCAAATATAAAAACCAACATACAGCAATCAAATCAAGAAGTTGATAACAAAACTTATTTACATATTTTTGCAGGTATTGATTAAACTACGTAATTGATATACAAAATTATAATCAGACCACTAATAACAAAATGGCGTAATAAAATGATTCACCCTAAAAGGGACAGAATTACTGATAAACGCAATTGTCTGGAAAATCCCCAACTCCCTATTATTGGTGTAACATATCTTTAATCTCTGTCTGTTTTGGGTGAACCATTTTTTGGCGTAATTTTGTTATTAGTCTTCCGATTTTTATATTCTTTATGTCAATTTCTTAGTTTGATCAAGAACTGGAAAATTATATGTAAGTCGACCATACTTCCTATTTGCAAATCTTCAGCTACCCACCACCCCCACTAAACCTACGCGTAAAGGTTTTAATCTAACCATAATTATTGTAGCCCATTATATCTAAGAAGGTTGCTACAAACAATTTCAATTATCTCAAATACTTAAAAAGTAAAGGGTTGGGTGCAAATTAGCAAGCACTGTTCAGGGAGAGGCTAAAACACAAGAATATAAGTGGACTGACATTGACTGTAACAGATATTTGACTTTTGATGAACTTTTGACTCCTGTGTTAGGTAAAAATAGAAGTGATAAGTAGGACCAACCTAATATAGGAAGTAATTAATACACTCATCTCTAGTTGACATCTTTTTTGTTCATTTCTATACGTTTAATAGCAGGCGAATACTTTTCAAATGTAAGAATATGTCTTTCATAAACACAAAATGATATGTTTAAATAATAATATTCGTGTCCTAGAATCTAACAATGATTATCGATTGGATTGTACACATTATGTTAACTTGCCTTTTTGATTGGGTGACCAAGGCGTTTCCATACTATGGGATGTTCTGCTCCCCACTCCTCTCTGCTTACTATGAAGATTTTGAGAGGCGGCCGGGTGATTTCTAGTGGTTGAGTAATCAAAAATAACTAATTTTAAAAGGTAATCGGGAAAAGAGTTTGTATTTACAAAAATGAGTAAATAGGACAAATTGGGGATAGTAGAAGATTATTCAAGAATGAGAAAGGACAATAAATGGGTAGTTTTCTTTGTATTGAAATTTTATTTAAACTCACTTATAGACTAAGTTGGATTAGAGTTTTTTTTTTTTTTTTTTTTTTTTAGTTTATAAGAATGAATATATGTGTAGAGATTGAGTGTGATCAACAAAGGTTACATTACAGTAATCTTTTAGAGAACTATAATCACCAAGCGAAACTACAAAAAAAATTACCCTTTTAAATAATCACATGAGGTGAGGTGCTTGTGGCCCAGGATCACTTGTTGAATTAAACCTTTTACTTTTAAATAGCTCCCTATAGTGATCGGTTGGAAACAGCTATATGCATACCACACTATATAGACAATTGCTTAAGGTAAAAATTGATAACATAAACTACTTAATATTTACCATCCCAAATAAATGTTGAAATGAGTAATGGTAGGTATGATTAAATAACATACTTTTAATGCAAGCTAAAATCTCCTTACATTATAATTGGTTATTTTGCAAATTTGAAATTAAAACTTTGCCTAATGAAGAACTTAATCATCGCCCCTGGTCTGGTCCTATTTAATTTTTATGGTTATAAGATGGTGTATCTATTTTGCTAATGACAAATTTAAAAATTTGGCTGCACTGTAATTCAAATCCTACCATGTTTAAATAACAATGTATATTATCAGAAAAAACTTGTTTGGTTCAAGTTAAAAAGTTAAATCGTTCTTGTGCAAAATCTATAATCAGAATATTTTAGATGCTATGTTAGTCGTTGTTAAAACATGGACTTAGATGATGTATATGCTTATTTAAACCTATTCTCAGTGTCGAAATTGTTATAAATAACTGCTATTTCACTATTTACAAGCAAATAAATATGAAAAAATAACTTACGATTAACGGGGGCATATCTGTAACTCATTTTCAATTCAAATCTTGTTTGTTATTCTATTTAATTTTTTTTTCTTTTTTAAATATCACAAACATTTTACGAACACTTAATTTTACATTTAGTCGGTCTTAAATTCACCTTTTTCCGAAGTCTTATGATTATTTTACTTAAAAATAATAAGCACAGTAATACTTATGTAAACAAACTAAAGAAAACAACAGTTTTAAAAGATATGAGATAATAGAATGATGTATTTACCAACTGATAACGAGACTCATAATTATTCTTAGTTAGTGCCTACTTTAGATAGCTGTATTAGCTTGTTACTGTGTGACAGTGTACAATTAAACTGCCTAAAACATAACTGTTAAAATCACCAGAACAATTGTTTTTATCTTCACAATTATTTTGTTACATAGCCTTTTCATCTTTTTTGCCCTACCTACTAAAAAGCGTTAATGGACTAAATATACTAATATTTGGTCCAGTTTAGATTACTGGTTATCAACTATAAATATATGTACACAAATTGTATCGAAAAATACATTTGATGTATATATTTATATTTATCAGTATTTTGTCTAAACTCCAACGCTATAAACGAAAGGCAGTACAAACGCATGCCATTTTTCAAGGAAAGCTATGGATCGATCACGCCACTCTGGCACCAAATTCCCAAAACCTTAGTTTATCACTAAGCTAGCGAAAATCCCTCCATTACAATGACCTAAAGGAATAGAATACAAAAATGCTCACAATATTTTGGTTTGATCCAAAACAGACTGTAGTCAAAATATTTAGATATCTAAAAGCCTTACAAAATGTATTCCTGACAAAATCAATTTGTAAAAACAAGTATTTTACAGATAAATTTTATCAACCTTGGAACAAAATCTATGATTGAAATACTGTACGATGGCTTGTTATATTATTTATACATAGCTATATACTATAACTTATAATACCTGTATATACTTTACTCATGTCCGTCGTCCTTCTCTCAATAATTAGATTTTTTTAACTATCAATCATTCAAGCATTAAATCTTCAGAGACATTGTTTCCAAAAAAAGTAGTTTTATTGTTAGTCGCACAAAACACATGAAAAGCTTTGTAAGTTTCACTTCTCAAGTTCCAAAATGAGTTCCTTTGTGGCAAAACGTAAGTTTGGAGACTGGAGTAATCTCCTACAAGAATAGCTGTCAGCAACCACAGAAATAGAGTCGGCATTGTATGGGAACAAAAACAAGCAAGTCTCCAATAACACTGTTTGGGCTTAGTGGACTTCAAAGTAAAATAGAGGAGTTTGGTCCCCGGCACAGTCACAAAAACTTACAGTGTTGGACCACATTATATCAAGAAGTTTGTGATTCTTTGGTCCATAATGCAGTATTAACAAAATATCAGGTATTCAATCGTTTTAAAAATCTACAAGTTTTGTACAGTAAGAGCAGACAGTTAAAGATTTTAAACACATTTTAAAATCTTATTTGTAGAACATTATCCTTGAAAGATCTTATGGGTTATCTGAGACCATTAAAAATAATAAGGAGCTTAATTATTTTGAAAAGATACATGACGTTCTTAGCAAATATCAAAAACAGTAATCAAGTAGTATACGAAACATTGTTCACCATTTTCAAACTTATTACAAAAATTAAAATAGGCTAAGTTGGGAATTTTAGGAAATATATTTTTCGAAATTTTAGGGAAAATTAGGAAAACATTAGGTATATAAATTACAAGTTCCTAAACGAACCTTGCTATAGCCAGAAAGTTAAAACTAAACTACCCTGTTGTATAATCCATCAGTCTTAAAACGAGTTTGCTCAAAACACCTGTGGGGAAAAAGTTTTAACGAGTGTTGTAGTTTAAAAGTGCTTTGCATCAGTAAATTTGTTTCGTGGCCAAGAAAACTTCATCATTTTTTTACAAATTATGATGGACAGCCCTAAAAAGGTTTTATGCTATCAAAAGTTAACAGTGTTGTTAAAATAATAGTGAACAGTTGTGTAGTGAGGGCACTTTGTGGATAAAAATACTCTTTAGTTTGTTTTAGTAGCTTTTTTATCATGAGAAATATAGTTAACTTCTTATGGGGAGTAGTCAGGGCAGCGCTTGGGCCAAAATTTGACCTTGAGATGATCTAGGTGTACTCTCAGCTGACCACGTGCAGTAGGTGTTTTGTGGATAAAAAGTGTTGGCCTGACCGGGTTTCGAACCCCGGTCTTTTTGTTGGTAGTTGTATGCGTTAGCTGGTTGAGCTACAGCAATGTTACGGGTATGGAGTTTTATATCGGTAAATGACATCTTACCTTGTATCTTATATATATACAGGGTGTGTTGGAGGTTTGATTTTAATATGGTTCACGGGTTCGAATCTAACCTAATATCATTTCCGGTTATTTAATCCTAACCTAATGGTATTGTATTATAGTGGGAGGTTCATGGGTTCAACTCTTACCAATCACAAAACATGCTATTAGAGGTTCAATACCGGATGTAATCTAACCACAGCTGATTACGTCACTTGGTTTAGAGGTTCATGGGTTCAATCCTAGTAGGTCTGGAAAAATACTTTATATAGTGTATAATGTTTAAGCGGAACTTTACTGTTGAGTATAAAAGAATGTTAAATGTGTAGTAGTATTGGAGGTTATTTTATATAGTGTATAATAAATGTAAAAACAGCTGAAAGAAGGCTTAAGTTTACCATTGAGTATAAAAAATGGCCTTTGTAAAGGCCACCAAATATTATATGTTAAACTTATATTTAATCTATGCTAAATGAGTTACTTTGGGTTAGGTTGTATTGTAGTGGGTGTCCTAGAGGTTCACGGGTTTGATTCTTACTAATCACCGATCATTTCCGGTTATTTAATCCTAACCTAATGGTATTGTATTATAGTGGGAGGTTCACGGGTTCGAATCTAACCAACCACTAATGCTATTATAGTGGGAGAATCCTAACGCACAGCTGTTTATTTCAGCTGATCATGTGACTTAGTTTAGAGGTTTACGGGTTCAATCCTAACCTATCATTTA